TGAACACAGCAGGCCAAGCAGCATCATAGGAGCAGAGAGGCTTGATGCTGCTTGGCCTGCTGTGTTCATCCAGCCCTGCACCTTGTTGTCTCGGACTATAACCTGGTGTTGTGTGGCATCTGACTTTGCGCCCCACCCCCCCCCCCCCCCCCCCCGTCCACCACCAGTACCTCCACATCTTGGAATAAAGGTATAGTTAACCCTTTACTCTACACTCTCGAGGCTTGCTCTCCAAGCTACCACCAACGGCGTCCTGTTTTCATTTGTCTTAACTGAGTCTGGCAGCAGAAAAAAACACAAGGTTAATCAGGATCGATTAGGCTAATGCGTTTTCAATGGTGAGGAGCTTAAACTGGTTATAATTGGCCTGGAATCGCAGCCACGGCCCCAAGGAGCGCCAATGGATTGCTTTCTCCCAGAATTGTAAACTGAACAGCCTTGTAGTTAATCTAATGTTTCTGCAACATGGTCTTTGACTGCTGCTTTCTGCTTCCTGCCTGTTTGTCTGTATCAGCTGGGGATAAACACACGATCCTCACCACAAATCCGTGTTTATCCAAATTAGGTTAGCTCAGTGGATCGGAGCCAAGAGTGAGCTCTGCAATACTGGGAGCTGGAATGCATCCCAGTATTCACATTACCAATGAGCTGAAAGAAAGGGATGAGTGATTTTATAAAAGTGGGCATACAGTCATTTTCTGCACCAGCTTCAAGACACTGCATTTTGTCGTCTGAATTGAAATATGGAAGTGCATATCAAAAATCAATGTGTTTCTTTGAGGATCAGACTCCTAAAGTCAATGGTGTAGGAACAGGCAGAAGCCATTCAACCCGTCAAGCCTGCTCTGGCAGTCGTAGACCCAGCTAATGTTCTGGGGACCTGGGTTCGAATCCTGCCAAGGCAGATGGTGGACTTTGAAGTCAATAATAAAATAAATCTGAAATTAAGAATCTAATGATCATGAAGCCATGTGGATTGTTGGAAAAATTTATCTGGTTCACTACTGTCCTTTAGGAAAGGAAACTGCCATCCTTAAAGAAAAACAGAAGTTGCATCTCTCCACAGATGCTGCCAGACCTGCTGAGCTTTTCCAGCAATTTCTCTTGTTTCTGATTCACCGCATCTGCAGTTCTTTCAGTTTTTAACTGCCATTCTTACCTGCTCTGGCCTACATGTGACTCCAGACCCATAACAATGTGGTTGACTCTCAATTGCCCTCTGACCAATTAAGGATGGGTAATAAATGCCGGCCTAGCCAGAGATGCCCAAATCTTGTGAATGAACAAAATAAAATTTAAATCTTGGTGAATCAGTACTTCAACTTTATTTAATAGCCTTGTACTAGATCTCTAAATATTCCTCACACAACAGACATCTATCTATCTCTAGAATCATACCCTCAGCTCAATGAGTCTGCATCTTAGTGTTAACATTTTGAATTGTCCCGCAGCATTGAGAACTTTTCTGGAGAGAATTGACAGAGACTGCAATCTTTTGGGTAAGATCATACAAACAGAAATGAACATGAATAAAAATTCAGTTCAGGAGTAGGCCATTCAGTCCTTTAAATAACAAATACTAGACAGGATGGTAAAATGCCCCAACAACCTGCTGGAAATGATCAAGGTCATTGTGAAAGGGCATAGAATGATCTACTTAGTCTAAATTTACCTCCTAATGCCTTGTCACCATTTCAAGTCTCTCCTGTCCACAGCGTATCACCTGCTCAAGATCTCAAACCAATCAGAAGGAAATAAAAACCGAAAGAACCACAGATGTTGTAAATCAGGAACAAAAACAGAAGTTGCTAGAAAAGCTCAGCAGCTCTGGCAGCATCTATGAAAAGAAAAATCAGAGTTAACGTTTCGGGTCCGGTGACCCTTCCTCAGTTCCGAGGAAACGTTAACTCTGATTTTTCCTCACAGATGCTGCTAGACCTGCCGAGCTTTCCCAACAAATTATGTTTTGGTTCTTCCGATAGCTTAACCCTCCCTCAACAGTGCGTTGGAATGTCAGCCTGGTTCCCGTGCTGCAGTCTCTACTTTGGTTTGGGGGCAAGCGCCACCGCAGGTACATACATTCTGTACTCAGTTGGAAGCACTGTAAGAATGTAATTGTGTACTTGGATCATATAGGAGCATAATTATGCCATTCAGCCCATCGAGACTGCTCCACCATTGGATCATGGCTAATAAGTTTATCTACACCTTCCTGCCTTCTCCCGCCAAACTTTATCCTCTTACTAACCAAGAACCTATCTATCTCTGTCTTAGACATAAATACAATAGGTGGTTCGGGATTGTCAGAGGATCTTCATTCAGCACTGCTCCAATGAATAGGGCAGATACAGCACTTGGAGATGTTCCTTTATCTCCAAACCCTGGATAATTCGGACAAGTCTGCCGCTGAGACTTTGCACATTAATCTATTTATAGCTATTTGAAATTAACTTCACGGGAATCAATTATGAACATAAACTATGGAGCAATTAATAGAAAATCTTTGAATTTACTGTGCAGATACTGGGGTTTGAGTGCAGAAGACAGAGCAATGTGTACATACCACCTCTATAGATCTGTGGGAAAGAAATGTTTGCTTTAGTTCCAATTATTAACATGGGAAAGGCAGCACTTACATTCCTTCTGTTTGCTTCTTTTAGTGGAACCAACGTATGAACAGATCAGACATGAGTTTTTACTATATTCATTTTGGGATATGGGCATTACTTGTGAGGCCATCACTTATTGCACTTCCCCAGATGCCTGTGAGAAGATGATGGTTAATTTTCCTCTTGAACAACTGTGGTCTGTTTGGTAAAGTCATCAATTTCCAGGAGTTTTGACCCAGTGACAATGAAGGAAATGATGATAAATCTCTAAGCCTGGTTGGTGTCTGGCTTGATGGTTCAATTCTTTAAACTCTTTTTATGATCTTAGGGAAGAGAAAAAAATGTAGCAAACTTTCCTATAATGTAAACAAACAGAGATCTTACAAACTCTTGCCCCTCAGTATGGTTAATTCAAGATGCATCTCAATTGAAAATTTTGCACTTAAAGTACAACTGTCTGAAAGCACACTGTGTATTCAGACTAGGGAAACTGATTGAAATAGGACCCAAAGAAAGAGATTGCTCCTTTCAAAGGTTTTGTTTGCATAAAAGAGAATTATTTACTCCCATGGTAGCCAGTGATGGCATAGAACTACCTTAGCTTGAACATTGCATTTCTTCGTTGCCAACTTGTGGAAAACAGCACCAAGATAAACTCACTGCCATAGCATTATTATTTGTCAGTGTAGAAGAAAAATGCTCATATTTGTGTTACCGAAAAAATATTAGCTGCAGCTACAGTACTTTAGTGGTCTGAAACTGGAACTTCTGGAAGTTAGGCAGTCAGAGTTAAATTGCTTTCTATTGATTACTGCCACCCATTTCCAGATCAGCAACAATAAAACTCAGCAGAGCTGTGGGGAACTCCAGCTCTGAAGAGTTCCTTTGTCATGATAGAGAGGATAGAAATGACCCTTTTTGTTTCCAAATATCAATAAGTTGGAAAAATTAAATTTCCAAAATGTGATTTGCATTTGACAAGTGAAAAAATTGCATTCAGAAGAGAGGCAAAGACTGCAAAGCTGTGCACACCTATCGTCTAATACCCATTAAGGAAGGAAACTGCCATCCTTACCTGGGTCTGGCCTACATGTGACACTGGACCCACAGCAGTGAGGTTGACTCTTAACTCCGGTCTGGACAATTAGGGATGGGCAATAAATGCTGGCCTAGCCAGGAGCACCCTCATCCTCTGAATGAATGAAAAGAAAATTGTTGTTCTCAAGATTCAGACAAGGTTCTGATTCAGACACTCATACGTCTGTCTGTGCAATCTGAAACTATTAGCTAATGTCACCAGAGTGGCAACAGAGCTTCACCCTGAGATGTTCGTTTGTGACAGCTACCTTCACTTAATTTCTCTTCTTTGTTCACAGGTGCTGTTTTCACCATCCTCATGCTGTTGGGGAATTTAAACAGTTGTACAAATCCCTGGATATACATGTATTTCTGTGGAAAAATCCCATGTTGTACCAAACACCAATCACGCTGCCCAGTTCGAAAAGAGTCAGCCATCACAACTTGCGTCAATCTGGTTGACAAGGACTCTGCAGATGTCTTTACCGCAGTCTAATAAGGCAGAAACTCAGATCCCATTCACTAAAACAATCAGAAATAAGAAACATTGAAGAAAAGTTAAGAAAATCCTGTTTTATTCCCAACTAAGATGTATTCTTTCTTTAATTGCCTGAGAACCTGATTTTAACTTGGTGCAATTGAATGGGTTTCTGGGTGGGTTAATATCTGACCCAGAAGAACATGTTTTCAATTTCTAGCATGTTCTTTTTTTTCAATTAATAAAGTTCAAAATCAGTCATCAATTTTAACACCAACAATTTGTATTTAACACTGGTACATTCATCATGTTTTTTGGCAGGTTTAATATTCTTTCCAACATAACCCATTGATTACACATAATAGAATTCAACAAAATTTTATTCTAATAGAAGTATGAATCACTCCTAGATGAGAGGAGATGAGATAACTCTTATGTTCCATTAGGTCCAACAGACACATCCTTGATTTGCTCTCAACAAAGATATACTTGCTGTGACAAAAACTTTCTTGTCCTCTGATTTCTACATAATGTAGGTCACGGTTCTCAATATACAGAATTAGGGAATGGAAAATGCTTGCAGGGTTGTCCAGTTTTATCACTCTAAACACGAGTTTAAGAACATTCAATGATAATGCCACTGAAAAGGTAAGACTTTTAGGTTTGTCAAAACTTATGTCCAAATAATTCAATGCTTTTCAGATAGTTAAGAAGTTAAGTGACACTAAGTGACATTTATGCATGACTATTTTAATTTACCTGTACTAAATTCAAAATTAAAATGTTGACAGAGAAGTTGGTGTTCCTAAAGCCATACATGATACTCATGCATGATCTTTCGTATCATCTGACCAATACTTGCAAGAACCAAATATTAGTCATTTGATACCACAGTCCTCACATATTGCTGAAAAAAAAAACACATTTTGTCAAAGCCTTTCATTTTCAACTCATCTGGCCAATTCACAAGAATTAGCAACATAAACAGAAAACACCATTTATTCTGAATGTAATGAGACTACTGATTGGATGACTAGTGGATTCTGATTGGTAGGGGTGTTGCCAGAGAGAACACACAAGATACTGATGACTGACAGTTAACTTCCAAGTTGCAAAGACAAAATGTATCTCTTCCAGAAAAACCCAAAAATGTTAATTCTTCTCTAAAGCATGTTTCAGCCTTATAGAGGTGAGGGTCATAGACCCAAAGAATGGAGCACTTCACATCACACGCTCACAGTTAGAGATAGATCAGTAAATAAACTCTGAATTGTCCAAATATTGTGCATTCAAGGTAAAGTTACTCTTATCCATAGGGTTGTTCTCTCATTACAGAGAGATGACTGCTGGTGGTTTAACTTGAGGGTCACCACTCCTCAGGCAATGGGAAAAGTTGAGAAGGAGAATCCTTCATTGTAACCTCAGGCAGTATGGGAATTGCATCACAAACCAGCTGTCCAAGGTAACCAACTAGTCGTGCAGTACTGTTGCCCCCAAATTCTGATATACACAGCTATATATAAAGTGGGCCGAAATTGACTGCTAAATTAAAAGTGAGGCTAATGGTGCTCAACAATAAAATTGCTTGAATCTCATAGCAAATAATACAGAGAACAGGTGGGTTATTAATCAGCCAGAAATTGCTGTCTGATCATGGCTGCTGTTTTGTTATCTTTGGGAAAATAGCATCTCGCTGATTGATTCTGAATTCTAATGCATTTAGAGTGGCTGAACTGTGTGTCTAGCTTGGTTGAATGAGAATATTTTGGAGTTGGGTGTAAACAGGGAGTTTCGAGGGATAAAAGGTAATTAAACTTAATGTCAGGCTAATCTTCAATCTAAATTAGTACTTTAATCTAGTAACTAAAAACTGCTCTGTTTTGTTGGGTGCAGTTTTAGTCACATTTCTGAAACAGGAATCAGTTGAGCCACTCTCAGGTGAAGCTGGATATGTGAACTGTATCGGTGCAGTTTGGAAGCATTGTTTTTGGAGCCGATAAAGGGGAGCCAATCTCAATGTTTCTTGGCTAAATAAGTTTGGAGTTCGTTGAAAATGGACAGTGACATGAAAGAGGGAGGAGGTGAAGCTGAAAGATTGAGTACAGTACTCAGTCTTAGTCCAGGCAGTTCAGAAAATGTCACGGTTGCAACATAAACATCCAATTGGTAAATGAACCTGCAGAGAATTTTCTCAGAGATAGTAGGAACTGCAGATGCTGAAGAATATGAGATACCAAGGTGTAGAGCTGGATGAACACAGGAGGCCAAGCAGCATCCGAGGAGCAGGAAGGCTGATGTTTCGGGCCTGAATATATTAGCTTAAATAAAGGTCGGGACTTTTGATTATAATATAAGTATATAAAGGAATAATTGGGCGATAATAGTTGGAGACTTTAACTATCCCAATATCAACTGGGTTACAAACAATACAGGGGGCATTGAGGATGAAAACTTCATGTACTCTGTCCAGAAAATTCTTTAAACAATATGTAACAAACCTAATGAGAAGAGATACAATTGTCAATTTAGTTTTCGGAAATGAGGATGGGCAAGCGGGTAAAGTGACAGTAGGTGACCATAGTGTGATCACAATTCGATTAGATTTAGTATCACTCTGAAGGACAGATAAATCAGGAGTAAAAGGTTTTAAATGGAGGAAGGCAAATTTCACAAAACTGAGAAGTGATTGGGCTGAGGTGAACTGGACAGGGCTGCTAAAGGATAAACTGGTAAACCAATGAGAAGCACTAAAAAGTGAGACCCTTAGGGCACAAAGCAGACACATCTCCTCTGAAAATAAGAATGGTACTGCCAAACCCCCATGGTTGATTAGAAAAATACAGGGTAAGATTAAACAGAAAAATGGTAATTACAAAAACGTCAACTCTGCAGATGCCATACAGGAGTATAGAAACTACAGGGATCAAGCTTAAAAAAAAGAAATAAGTAAATCAAAGTGAGGGCAAGCAAGATAAAAGAAAATCCGAAGATGTTTTCCCAGTATATAGAGAGCAAAAAGATAGTTAAGGAAAAAGTGAGACCTATCAGATGTGAAGAAGGGAACTTTTGTGAAGATGCAGAGAATATGGGAAGAATTTGAAATGAAATTTTTGTCTCCATATTACCAAAGGAAATGAATGATGTGGATATATAGTAATCCAAGGCAGCAGTGTGAAATAATGGACAAAATAATCATAATGAGAGAAGAAGTGTTAGAGGAGCACAGATACAGTAGACAGGAGGAACCTGTTTCCCTTGGCAGGGAGTTCAAAAAGCAGGGGTCAAACGAAGTGGCAGAAGGATTAGAGGGGACATGACAAAAATGTTTTTTACACAGAGGGTGATGGGTGTCTGGAATTTGCTACCTGAATTGGTGGTGGAGACAGAGACCCTAAACTGTTTTTAAAGGTACCTAGTTCTGCACCTTAAAGTTGATGTCACCTGGGTTGAATTGATTGTTCCCTAGGATGTTGAAGGTGGTTAGGGAGGAAATAGCAGATGCTCTGAGGATTATTTTCCAATCTGCACTAGACACAGGTGAGGCACTGGAGGAATGCAAATGTAATTCCATTGTTTAATAAGTGTACAAAGGAAATGCCAAACAATTATAGATCAGTTAGTCTTACTTTGGTGGTGGGCAAATTGTTAGAATCAATCCTGAGAGATCGGATAAACCATCACTTCAAAAGGTATGGACTAGTCAGGGATAGTCAACATCTTAAGGGAAGGTCATGCCTTATGAATTTGATTGAATTCTTTGAGGAAGTGCCAAGCAGGATCGATGAGGGTGGTGCAGTGGCTGGTGTCTACATGGATATTAGTAAGACATTTGACAAAGTCCTGCCTGGCAGACTGGTCAAAAAAGTAAAAACCCATAGGAAACAGTGTAATGTGTTGAATTGGTTCCAAAGTTGGCTTAATACCAGGAAACAAAGGGTAATGGTCGATGGCTGTCCAACGAATGGAAAGCTGTTTCAAGCGATGTTTCACAGGGCTCGGTGTTGGGATCCTTGCTGTTTGTTTTACACATTAATGGTTTGAACTTGGATGTTGGGGTACAATTGGGGAAATTTGCAGATGACACAAAAATTGGCAGTGTGGTGGATTGTGTAGAGGATAGCTGTAAGCTCAGATGCCACAGATGGGTTGTTGGAGTGGGCAGGAAAGTGGCAGATAGAGGTCAATGCTGATAAGTGTGAGATAATGCATTTTGGGAACTCAGACATTAAAAGAAATACACAATAAATGGGAATATACTGAGAGGGGTAGATGAAGTGAGAGATCCTGGTGTGCAAGTGTACAGGTCCCAAAAGTTAGCAGTACAGGTAATAAGGTTGTAAAGCAGGCATATGGAATGCTCTCCTTCATTGACAAAAGTATAGAATACAAAATATGAATAGAATGATGAAACTGTCTTAGACACTAGTGATGCCACAACTGGAGTACTGTATATAGTTCCGGTGACTACATTACAGGGAGGACATAATTGCTCTGGAGAGAGTGCAAAGAAAATTAACTAGAATGTTGCCAGAGCTGGAGAACTGTAGTTGCAAGGAGAGATTGAAGAGTTTGGATTTGTTTCCCTTGGAACAGAGAAGGCTGAGGAATGACATGATTGAGATATGCAATATTGTGAGGGTCATAGATACAGTAGACAGGAGGAACGTGTTTCCCATGGCAGAGAGTTCAAAAACCAGGGGTCATAGATTCAAGCGAAGTGGCAGAAGGATTAGAGGAGACATGAGGAAAAACACATTTTACACAGAGAGTGATGGGTGTCTGGAATTCACTGCCTGAGTTGGTGTGGAGGAGGAGACCCTAAACTGTTTTAAAAAGTACCTTGTTCTGCACCTTGTTCTGTAAGCTGCAGAGATATGGACCATGTGCAGGAAGATGAGATCAGAAAGGGCATCCAGGTATCTTTGGGTTAGCATGGACAAGATGGGCTGAATTGTCTCCTTCAGTGCTGTATCATTTCTATGGTTCTATATGTGAAGTTTCTGTATTTTCAAGATGGATACAAACTAAACTTTGCTGAACTAAAGTTTCTGCATGTCCATTTCAGTCCAAAATCCCTTTGTTTAACAGCTGGACGACTTTAGTTATAGCTGAACAATCTATCTGGCACTGAAGGTTAAATTAACTCTGCGGTTCTATTATCCTCACATTGATAAAGGTGGAACAAGTTTTAAAAACAGCAATGATGTTGACTTTATCTTGAAAAAAGATACCGAAAATTAAGTTTTACAAGTGTTGTTTTGCATTAATTCAACTTCT